CACCCCCCAGGGACATCAGTTCAGCCCCCCCCAGGAACCTCAGCTCAGCACCCCCCAGGGACACTCAGCTCAGCACCCCCAGGGATATTTAGCTCAGCACCCCCCAGGGACACTCAGCTCAGCACCCCCCGAGGGACACTCAGCTCAGCACCCCCCAGGGATACTCAGCTCAGCACCCCCCAGGGACACTCAGCTCAGCATCCCCCCAGGGACTCTCAGCTCAGCACCCCCCAGGGATACTCAGCTCAGCACCCCCCAAGGACACTCAGCTCAGCACCCCCCAGGGATACTCAGCTCAGCACCCCCCAGGGACACTCAGCTCGCTGGACTGCCCTCCTTGCCCCCTCGGTGCTTCTCCAGCTGCCCCGTGGCCGGAGTCCTGTCCTCCTTCCCCGTCTCACCTGCATGGCTCCCGGCTTCGCTCCGCCCTGCCCCTCTGGTGCATCTGAGTCGCTTCCTCCCGGCCTCCCCTAGCCTGTCCCATGAGCCCCCAGAGCTGGGCCGACCTGCTGACTGCTCTCCTGTGTCCCCAGTGCCTGGGACGCGTTCTGGTCCTGGTGGTTCTCTGGAGGGGTCACCTCGGCCAGGCTGTGCCTGTGGTTGGGCACCTGGAGAGCAGGCAAGCCGTTGCTGGGGTTTTTAGAAATGAGGATGTTCACTTTAAGTAAACCGGGTGACTCTCCGTGATACTGTGGGCACCTCCTCCCATTGCCTGGGGGCCCCAAGTGAAAACACAGAGGTGCACCGAAGAGGAAGGAATTTGGCCTTGAGACAACAACATAGAAATTCTATCTGTGGTTCCCACGTGAAAACGGCAGCATCGGCATCTTGGAATTTCTATGCTGGCTTACGAATCGGCTTGGGGCTTGCCAGCACCCACAATTAAGTGAGCCAATTCCTTAAAATGCCTCTCTCTCTCTCTCCTTCTATCTCTGTCTATACACATCACTATATCTAACATACAGACACATAGACCTGGCTCCCTGGGCCACCCTGACCGATATACTCCTCACACTGGGTCACAGCAGATTACCTCTCTGTCCACAGAGTCTGACACAGTGCCTGGCCCCAGAGGCGCCTGGGAAACAGAATGGGTGGGGTGCCAGAGAGGGGAAGGGAGAACTCAGACTGGGGTCAGATGGATGGCCTGGGCAAAGGAGCCAGAACGAGGGCATCCATGGCCCGGCCCGCCCGCCTCTAGGCCTGCATTCCCATCCAGCTTATGTGAATGAAAGGCTGTCACCGCGGAGCTCCAGGGAGTGCCATTCGCACAGGTGACGCTAAATGTCCCCCTGGAGTCATGCCACGCCGTGGCCCTGCAGGAACCTGAGGTCTGTTTCCTTATCAACCGATCAAGGCAGTCATCATTCTCTCCCATTAGGTGAGGCATCGTTTAGAAAACAGGCCTGGAGGGACGCCCGGCCAGTCCTCGCTGTTTAATTACTGACAGCGATCGCTCCCTGGGCTGGAGACCGGGCAGTAAGAGATGTGGTCGAGGCTGAGTATTTGTGAGGCACCAGGTGCAAGTAGCGCTCGGGCAGCAGGAGTAAGAGTGGTGCTGGGAGGAATCCGGGGTAGTGGACAGCGTGGGAGGATGGGTCAGGTCGCCAGGGAGAGCGGAGAAAGAGAGGGGCCCTACAGAGCCCCAACCTGGAAGGAGCAGGTGGGGGTGGGAAATGGCTCAGGAGGCCGAGCTGGAGGAGACAGGGATGGAGGGGGGGCGGGGGGGGGGGCGGTTAGAAAGGAGATGATAGTATCCAAACGACATAAAGAACCCACAGAACGGAGCCCGAGATGGGAGGTGTGCCCCGGCCCCGTGGAGAGGCTTGCGTTCTTCCCAGAAAACACGGGAACGAGCCGGGCACCGGGAAGGTGTGTGGGCGGTGGGTGGTGCTTCCTTCGGGGTCCCGCCGCTTCCCATCTATTCCCAGGCCAGCGGGGAAAGGAAGGGGTTTTCGAAGTCAGTGAGGACCCACTGCCCAGGGGAGCCGTGGGCAGCAGGGGTCTGAGACCCCCTATAGCGACCCTCACAGAGCTGAGCATGACCAGGCGCAGAGAGCTTGTGCCCCAGGCAGCATAGAGCCGGGGCTTCAAATCCTGGGCCTACTGCTCACTCGCTGTGTGACTTGGAGGAAGTTACTTAACCTCTCTGGACCTGTTTCTCTAGGGCAGTGGTTCTCAACCTTCTGGCCCTTTAAATACAGTTCCTCGTGTTGTGACCCAACCATAAAATTATTTTCGTTGCTACTTCATAGCTGTAATGTTGCTACTGCTATGAATCGTAATGTAAATATCTGATATGCAGGATGGTCTTAGGCGAGCCCTGTGAAAGGGTCGTTCGACTGCCAAAGGGGTCGCGACCCACAGGTTGAGAACCACTGCTCTAAGGTTTCAACAGAATAATAAATAAGTAACATAGCCTGACAAAGTAAATACAAGCTCGGGAACGAGGTTCTGAAAACGTGAGCTTCCTGTCCTTTTGATCCACAGTAACAATGCCAACATGGCTGCTTCTCAGCTCCAATCCTACGCCAGAGCCTGGCGGTGTGGCCGGGCCCGCTCTGAAGGCACAGGGCTGTCGTACTCACCGCTGGGTACCCACGGCCCGGCCCCTGGGTGCCCGCCTGCCACCACGGTCCAGCAGCTCCATAGAGCAGACCTTGCTCCCGGCGATCTGATGGGCGCCGCCCAGGGGTTAAATACTTATGAAACTACCTCCGCTACTCCTATTGCCGCCTCTGCCAATAATGAAGCCCTCATGGGCACCATGTGTGTCTGACACGTGGCCTGGCCTGTTCGAAATAAAGCGAGTGAGCCCAGCTGGTGGGGCTCAGGGATTGAGCGTGGACCCGTGCACCAGGAGGTCACTGGTTCGATTCCCAGTACAGACACATGCCCCAGTTGTGGGCTCGATCCCCAGGGCGGGGCGTGTAGGAGGCAGCCATTATTTCTATCTCCCTCTCCATTCCCCTCTCTCTGGAAATCAATCAAAACATTTCAAAAAAAAAAAAAAAAAGAAAAGAAAAAAGAAATAAAGCAAGTGAGCCTCGAAGTGTCTTTACCCACCGACCTGTCACAGAGCTTGGATCTGAATCCTGAAGGCTTGACGTCCGACCCTCACGTACTAGCTTGTGTTGTGTAAAAGGACCAAGGCAGGGAACGGGCCCTGATGCGTCAATACCCCGCAGAAGGTTGCAACATCAGCGGGCCTTGTTCTCCCAAACCTGGCACATGCCAGTGGTGGCCACTTCCCTGCAGGGCCGGGCGCCGCTGCCCTGAGCAAAGCCCAGGTTCCAAAGCCGCGGGCGGACAGCCCTGAACAGCAAACGCCGTACATACCCTGGTCCCCGAGCGCTCTGTCTGAGTAACACTTGCTGGGGCTTGACTCTTCATTTTCAGGATTAATTCTCTGCTGATTTGGCATGGAGCTATAGCTGATCCCAAGACGAGCTAACGGAAAGGAATGTGGAAAACAGAGAGAGAGAGAGAGAGAGAGAGAGAGAGAGAGAGAGAGAGAGAGAAGGAAGGAAGGAAGGGAGCAGGGAGAGAGTGGGTGACGGGAGGTTACAGCCTGGGCCACCAGCCGTGGGAAGAATAGCCGGCATTGCTCAGGGCCAATGTCATTGTTACATTCGCATCTGCCGGACACCACGCTAGGCACTTCACGTGCTTTCCTCAACTCCGACTTCACCACATTGATTTCCAAGTCCCTCCGTTTTCAAGCCCCTCCTTTCACTGTTCGTAGGGGTCCCAGTCCCCTCTGAAACCGTCCCCCGAGCCGATCCAGGACTGCGAGGGAGCGTAGCTTACCTGTCCCCGAGCTTCGCTGTCCAGTCCCCGTCTAAAGAGCAAAGAGATAGACCGGCTCCCGGTGAAATCAGATATAAACCTGGGAAACTGTGAAAGACAACAGCGTTAATGATTACATGGCATCCAGCGCTCCTGTTGCTGTAAACAGGCCGCGAGGCCTATCCTGACGAGCGATAAATGATTAACACACATGCGCAGGTTCGGGTCAGCCAGTTCCGGACCCGGAGCTGACGGCAGAGGTGTCCTGGCTGCTTCGGCCCCTGCCGGCTAACGGGTTGACCTTCCCGGGTGCCGGGTCCCTTCTCGCTGATGTGAAGCTGTGACCGGCGTAGGACCAACATGCCGGGCTGTGGGGAGGGTCAGGTGAGATGACATGCAGGACACTAATGCATGGAGGCTGGTCAAGCCCTCAACCCAAAGGACCAGGAGGGGTTAACGTCTCCTCTGTGGGTGCAGGACGGTCAGTCGTGGAGAGAACACGAGCGCCATCACTCCTGTCGAAAGTGATGCACACGAGCTAAGCCTTCAGGACCCTGTGGGACAGAGGGCTGGAGGGGCGGGCACGGTGGAAGGGACCCAAGAGTGCGCCTGTGCAGCCGGTGCCAGTCCAGGGTCAGCCAAGGCACCTGCCCAGAGGGAGGTGGGGGTGTGGGAAGTGGGGCACAGAAAGATGGGTGCCGGGAGTCCCCCCCGCACGGGAGAGGGATGCTGGGAGACAGGGCTGTGTGGGGAACATGGAAAAGGCCATCCGATCCCCCGGGCATCGACTGAGAGCCTCCGGACAGCCTTTCCCTGCCTAATCTCGTGTCCCAGCGCCTTCGTGTTGACCAAGGGGTGGGCCTGGTGAACCGGGAGAAGCCACCTGGGCCCTGGGAGACATCTGCCCGCGATGCCCTTATCAACCCGCCTCTGAGGGCTGACAAGCCGCACACCAGCGAGGTGGCATTCGTGTGCCCGGGATGTCAGCTGTGCTGGAGGCAATGCAAACGCACCCAGACAGAGGTGCCCTGGGCAAGGAAGGGCCTTGCTCTCCAATCTTCTCAAGCCTCCCACATGCCCGGCTGGTGCCCACCCTCCTGTGCCCACGCAGCCGCCCAGCCTCGCTCTCGCTGTCTCCCTATGCCGGTGAACGGCCTGGCCTCTCCGACCTCACCTTGCTCGGCCTGCCTCGTTCCCATAGCCTTTAGGGCACTTGCTTCTGCTTAGCTGCTTATCCTTGAACGCAGACGTAACAAGCATTGGAGGAAGTCTGCTTATGTTTCACAAAAAAAACAAAACAAAAACGGAACAAAACAAAACGCAGCTCCTTGCTCGGAATCGCCTCCCCTGGGGCGATAAGGAAGTGTGTACCAAAATAACGAGTGTTTGTCCAAGGTTTATAGGAACACGGAGACCAAATCCGCAGCAACTGGAATCTGTTGCCCGAGAACAAAGTTCCCCTCCCGGCCCTTGCTGGCTCCTCGATGCCTGAGATCCTCGGTCCCCTCCTGACCTCAGTCCCTCCCACGTCCCCTCCCCTTGACATAAAGAAAGCCCGAATTCTGCGCATTCATTAGTGGTTCTTTGGGAGGCTCATCCACCATCCTCTCGGCTCACCAGCTTTCCGAATTTCCTCCCCAACACCTGTCACGCGCCTTACTGGCCGTGGTGCGGCCAGCGGCACAAACTTGAATTTGGTTGCATTTTCAGGCGCAGTAAATCGCTCTCTGACGCCAGGATTGTTCAATCACTGGTTCTGCAGCATCCGGATAGACAGTGTCAGAGAGCGGTGGAGCCTGGGGTCCCATGTCAGACCTCAGCGCTGGCCCTCCGCTCCCCAGCCACCTCACACCAGACACGTGCGCTCTATGAAGTAGGGGAGGACTCGTCTCAAGGTCATGTGCAGATTGAATGAGATGCTGCCTGTGGCAATGCCTGTCCTGTCGCAAGCACCGAGTAAACATTCCCCTTTGCTATTATTATTATTGAGAAATCCCTTTTTAAAAAAAAAAATTCTCACCTGAGGATATTTTTTTCCATTGATTTTTTGGAAAGAGTGGAAGAGAGAGGGAAAGAGAGAAATATTGATGTGAGAGAAACACATTGATTGGTTGCTTCCTGCACAGCCCTGACCAGGGCCCGGGCCGGGGAGGAGCCTGCAACTGAGGTACATGCCCTTGACCGGAATCGAACCCGGGACCCTTCATTCCGCAGGCTGATTGGTGCTCTTCCCGCTGAGCCAAACCGGTTAGGGCGGGAAATCTCTTTTTTGATCATTATTTTTATTCTTGGATCTTTTTTCTTTTTCCAATATTTACGGAGCACCTACTATGTGGCCATCGTACTGCTAGATACTGAGAAGGGTACACCTGTTACTGCTATTGGGTAATTCAGAGTCTGGGCAGAAGAATGAGCCAAGGTAAGGGGACTACGTTCAATAAGCACCTGCTGTCTGCCAGGTGCTGGTTGTAAGTAGCCTTACTTACTGCAAAAGGCAGATCCTGATGTTTTATTTCCACGCTATGGCTGAGCACAGCTGGGTTCTGGAAGTCAGCCCACTTGCCCGAAGCAGCACGGCTTGTGAATGAGAACTGAGGTTTCATACCTGGCCGATGTGGCTCAGTGGCTGAGGGTCGACCCATGAACCAAGGGGTCACGGGTTCAATTCCCAGTCAGGCACATGCCCAGGCTGCTGGCTCCACCGGGTAGAGGGTGTGCAGGAGGCAAGTGATCAATGATTATCTCTCATCATTGATATTTCTATCTCTCTTTCCCTCTTCCTTCCTCTCTGAAATCAATAAAATATATTAAAAAGAAAAAAAAAGACCACCCACTCTGCCGGCCCGACCGGGATCACTGTGGGAAGGCTCCATCCCAGAGAACACGCCCACCAGGAGCCTCAGGTCCTAGAGTTCAGAGAATCTCTCTTTTGCTCTTGGCAGCCCAGCATCCAGACTGCCCACTTCGGAGGCCCCCCACTCCTGGGTTTCGTCGGCTCATCCTTCCCACCTTCTCTCGAATTTCTCTCCAGCAACTGTCCTATTTCTCTGCAGCAGCCTCCATTTCTCCATCTCTGTTCCAGGCTAGGAACACAAATGTCTTAATATCACCAATAAAAACAAACTAACCCAAAAGGTGAGGATGTGGAGAAATGGGAGCCCTCGGACGTTGCTGGTGGGGATGTAACGGGGTTAGCTGCTGCGGAAAGGAGCTGGGTGGTGTCTGAACAATTAGACACAGGATCCCCATGTGGTCCAGCCACTCCAATCCCAGGTGCACACCCAGACCTGCTGACAGGTGTTCAAGACAAACACGTGTGCACGAATGCTCACAGCAGCTCTGTTCACAGAAGCCAAGAGGCGGGACAGGCCAGATGCCCGTTGGCAAAGGAGAGGATAAGCGGTTGTGGTTTATCCACACAAAGGAATGACGATCTGATACGTGCAACAACGTGGAAGGACCTTGAGACCATTGTGCTAAGAGAAAGGAGCCTGACGCAGAAGGTCACCTGTTTCATCATTCCCTGTCAGTGCAATGCTCAGGTGAAACAACAGAGGCAGGAAGCAGCTGAGTGGTGGCCAGGGGCTGGGGGCGGGTGGGAAGGGGAGCAGCTATTTAATGGGGGAGGGGTTGGCTTTGGGGGATGGTGAAAATGTTGGGGAACTAGACAGGTGTGGCTGCACGGCACTGTGAAAGCGCTCGGTGCCACTGAACTGTTCACTTTAAAATGGTTCATTAGCGTGGCTTGGTGGTTGAGCGTCAACCTATGAACCAGGAGGTCGAAGGTTCAATTCTGGGTTGTAGGCTTGATCCCCAGTAGAGGGGGGCGTGCAGGAGGCAGCTGATCAATGATTCTCTCTCATCATTGATGTTTCTATCTCTCTTTCCCTCTCTCTTCCTCTCTGACATCAATAAAAATATATTTAAAAAAATAAAATGGTTAATTAACAAATCAAATACAATGGTTAGTTTGATAGTAAGGGAGTTTCACCTCAGTTTAAAAACAACAACACGTCTGCTGGCCCCAGGCCTCCTGTGGTCACCTGCTTCCCATGCTCTCTGCCGCAGCAGAATCTCCCAAAGAGAACCCACTGTCCCCGCTCTCTCCTCAGCTGCCGCCCAGAGGGGGGTTGACCCACCACACCACTCACGCTGCGTTTCTGAGGACACCCAGGCTCCATGGTCAGTAGTCAAGTCCTATCACCTCCCTGCGGCTTGGATGAAGCTGACCACTCCTCTTCCGCTGGGTCCTCCTAGAAACGTCCTTTGCAGCCACTACACTGGCCCGGTCTTCCCTCCGCCTCCCTGGTCACCCCTTCTTAGTCCATTCAGCTGCTCCCCTCGCCTACCAGACCTCGTGGTGGAGGGTCCCAGGACGCAGCCCAAAGCCCCCTTCTGTTCTACCCACACTCTTCCCATGAGTGACTCATCCAGACGGGTAGCAGCCTTAAAACCAATGATATGCTGCTGACCCCCAATTCTGTCCCTCTGGCTCAGACGTCTCCTCCAGGTCCAGATGCATATGTCCACCCTCCAGTCAGTGCCCCCATGTGGCTAAGCAGCGTCTTGAACACAGCAGGTCCTAAACTACACTTCCGATGTCCATGTTCCAGCCCCTCCAGCCCCCCAAGTATCAAAGACGCTTTCTTTCCTCCAGACTCCCTCCTAGTGCCTGTCCAAATCATCAAAACTCGTCGCTTCTGCTCTCAGTTCTATCCGGGGCAGATGACATCCTCTGTCACCTGGGAGACTGCCTGCCATGGCCTCCCGACAGCTGTCCCTGCTCACCCCCCGCCCCCCAGACGGTTCCATCCAGCGGCATCTCCAGTGACTTCCTACAGCAAAAAACAGGCCAGGCAGTGGCTTTCCTAGAGTCAGACCCCTCAGCCAGGATTCAGACCCTCCTCCTGTGCATCAATGTGGTTTAGCGGGACGGACGCGGCTTTGGCCCAATATGACTCAGCTTCCATCCCTGACTGCCACCAACCAGTGTGTGACCTTGAGCGACTCCGTTGACCTCAGCTTCCTTACCCGTGTCACAAGCATGACAATATGTCCCTGCGGGAGGAGGAATGATAACGTGTGGACATAACACCAACACCTGGCAG